CACAGCTTCCTATGGCCTGTGCCACCAGAGCTCCGTCAAACCTGAACTAACTGCACCTTTTCATTCAAGAATTACTCAATCCATACTTGGACTCTGGCTGTGTTGAATAGTGAAAAGTTATGCATAAGAGGAAACTCCTTCTACTTAGATTCGCTCAGTCATCAGGTGTCAGTGAAGTGTCAGAAGCCAGGGTTACAAAGAAGAAAGACATGATTCTTTTTTTTAAATTTTATTTTATTAATTTTAATGAACATTTAGAGATTTTGGATTTCCATTCATTCATTGTTGCATTTTTCTCCCTGCACACCCTTCCCTCCCAGTTTGCTCTTCTCTTTGAAAAGAAGAACAATTCCTTTATTGGTATACTATCCAACCACCCCGAGTACACTGCACTATGCAACCTTCATTCTGGACTCTTGTCATAACCATAATATCCAATCATATATTGCTTTTAAACTGTTCTCTCCCTCATCTATTTCAATGCAGTATACATGATTTATCCAATTTTTCTCAGCCTCACCCCAAACCTGATTCAAACAAAATTACAAAACATTGCTGCAAGAAACAAAAAGAGACCTGGAGAAGTGGGAAAAGATCCCTTGCTCATGGATAGGAAGACTCAATACTGTGAAAATGACAATACTACCAAAGGCCGTTTACACACTGAATGACATGATTCCTGCCTTAAGGAAGTTTGAGCATCCAGGAGACCAGAGATCTCAAGTCAGAAAATAAAAATCCCATGGGACCAAAAACTGAGCTTTATTTACAAGCAGAGAGACGTCTGTCTGGGCGGCAGGACTGCTGTGTTAAAGAAAAAGCATGTATGTGTTCATGTTGTGGCAGTTCACCCAGAGTGTGACGGAGAGCATAGATAATGCTGGACACTGCACAGGTTCGGGCTAAGTGAATGAGTCAGAGACCCTTGTAGAAGAGTCTCGAATGCAGACTGATCAGGTATGGAAGTACGTTACACGTGAAAGGAGAAGCGGGAAGCCGAGTGAGCACGGGAAAGGCTAGACACATTCATGTAATAGTATTTCTGTAGTGGTTTATATTTGGAAAAATTTTGCCAGTTGTTGTTGTTGTTATGTGCCATCGAGTCGCTTGCGACTCATAGCGACCCTATGTACAAGAGCTCTAAATGTTGTTCTATCCTGTGCCAACCTCGCCGTCTCTAAACGCACTTATTCCCACCACTCCAGTCACAGAATCGATCCATCTCACCAAAGGTCTTCCTCTCCTTCGCTTCCCCTCCACTCTGCCAAACATGATGTCCCTTTCCAAGGACCAGTCCCTTTTAATGTGAACTGCAGTCAGAAAAAAACAGCTCTCAACTATGGTGTCATGACACACTGAGACACCCCTTGAAAAATCCTTGCTGGGTTTAATTGTCCTCATTTTAAAGAACTTTTTACCTTTTAACAGGTGAGTTTGGCCTATGATTTTTTTAATCTTATATTGCACATAGAGACAGCTATGTTGGCCTAGTGGACAGAAAGTTATTCTATCAAGCCCAAGGTGAGTGATTTTAATCTGCGCTCCTCAGGCCTGGTTTAAATTGTTTTTGTCAAACATTGTTCAAAGTGATATAGTGGTCTAAGTGGTATAATGGTCTGTCCACTTGCTGTACAGAGGTAACTCGTGGTTGCTGTGATGCCAAACACTGTGACACTGATGTGCCAAATGCAATAATGGTTATCCATGGTGGACAGTGTTTGGTGGAACTTCCTGATTAAAACAAGCTTGGAAGCAGGAGTGGCATCCACTTTCGAAATGGCTTGCCTCCGGAAACTCTATGAACAGTGCTCAGGTCTTTCGTTCATAGGGTCGCTATGAGTTGACTACGACTCGACGGCACCTAACAACAATAACAACGTATTGCATTTATATCACAAGGACGACAGTAGGTAATACTAGCTAGGGATGAGAGATTCGTTTTCATTCTCTTTCTAGTGTCCATGATGGTTTTATAAAAGACAGTTGTATCTGTTCCTTTATATCACCTAGAAAACCATCTGGACGTAGTATCATTCATTTTGAGATACAGGAATGTTTTAGCCTGCTGATTTAATTTGTGAATTCTTCAGATACTCTCTTTTTCTCCTTAGTGCAACTGTATATATTTCTCTGCACTTATCCAAATAATGGGAAAATGATTCATTTTCAAGCGTATCTGCATTAAATAGACTAGGAATTAGGTAAAGGAGAGATGGAAATATTCTATATCTTGTTGGTGTAGGTTGTTTCATGAAATCTACATCTGTCAAAAAAGTATCAATTGTTTGGTAGTAAGAATTGTTGTTATGTGCCGTCAAGTCACTTGCGACTCATAGCGACCCTATGTACAATAGCCCTAAACCCTGCTCTATCCTGTGTCAATCTCACTGTCTCCTATACACCCATCCCGATTACCCCAGTGACTGAATCAATCCACCTCCTACAGGGCCTTCCTCTCCTGCACTGTCCCTCCAACCTCCCAAGGATGATATCCCACTCCAAGAATCTGTCTCTCCTTACAACATGTCCAAAGTATGTCAGACGAAGCCCCAGAATCCTTGCCTCCAAGGAGCAGCCTGATTTAACCCTCTCCAGGATGAATCTGTTTGTTTTCCTAGCAGTCCATAGTACCCTCAAGACTCTTCTCCAGCATCAAAGGCATCAAGAATTCAATTTCATTAATTTGGTTAAAATCCAACAGTAGAAAATGATACATATGAGGTTTGTAATTTTTAAAACAATTCTTTATGTTTAGCTGTATCCCCTCTCTTGTTCTTTGAGTAGTCTCTGTTTCCTTTTCTTCTTCATGAATCTTGTTAAAAGTTTGTCTACCCTATTACCTTTCTAAAAACTGAAATAACTAACTCTCCTGGAAGAACCCTCAGCCTCCTTAATTCGTTTATCTTCTTGCTACAAGTACCTCAAAGTGTTCTGATCACCATACTCATTTCAGCCATTCTTTGGGGGGGGGGGAATAAGAGAATGTGAAAGAATAGATGTCTGGAGGAAGTTACTCTCTGAGCAGTGGACAGGATGGACAGGAGTGAGAGTCCTTGTTTAAGAGACCTTTGTAGCCAGCAGGTTAGACCCACTGGCAGAGTTTTCATTGTGCAAATTGGGTACGACTGAGACGTCATTCAGTTTCTTTGAGAAGAAATCCTCACAGAATATTTGAGGACATAATGTGGACACTCATTTCCATTTAGGAACTAAATCCTGCCTCTTTTACATCCAGACCTGCAGTCTTGGCTGTTGGCGTGTGTATGCTCTTTCTTTCATTGGCAGACATGAAAATGAGTGTCAGAATCTAAAAAATAATTCGGTATCACTTACCTACTAAATAACTATTATATATTTTGTGTCATGGGATTCATTAGTTTGTTTAGCAAACCAAATGTGTCTGTGTGCTTAATAAATGCGCTAGAATTATAAAATGGACTAGAATTGACTATTTTTAATCACATGGTGTACTATGCCAGGAAGAAGAAATTGAAGAGGAATAGTGTCAAATTTATTGCCAAAAAGGACATTTCAAGATCTGTCCTGAGGTGCAGTGCAGTCAGTGATAGAATTATAGTATATTTATATACCTAAAAGGAAGGCATATTAATATAACTGTTATTTAAAGATGAATAAATTGAGGATATATTATTAAGTGAAGGGGGAAACCTAGTAAGTACAGCGTCAGCAGCGGTCAAGAAACCAAAGACATATTGTACTGGGCAAATCTGCCAAGGCCTTTTTAAGTGATCAAGAAAAAGGAGATTAGTTTGAAAACTAAAGTTCCCATGACTCACACCATAATATTTTCAGGTGTTTCATATGCTTGTGAAGGTTGGGCCATGAGTAAGGGAGACTGGAGAATAATCCCTTTGAATTGTGGTGTTGGTGAGTAGTATTGAATCTATCATGGATTTCCAACAGAACAAACAACAGTCTTAGAAGTACAGCTTGGGTCCTCGTCAAGGCAAGGATGCTTGTGACACTTTGTCTCACACCGTTCTCGCAAAAGGACATCATGACAGGCCAAGCAGAGAGACAATAAAAGAGAGAAAGATCCTGACTGTGATGGGTAGCTGCAGTGACTTCAATAATGGATTTAAAGACACTGGAGGCTTTTAGGTCGGTTGAGAATTGGACAAGGTTTAATCTGTTGTACAGAGGGTTAGTATGAGTTGGAGATCACCCAACAGTTTGCGTGAGTATTATGGATCCAAACAAAATGAAGTTCTGGACAACTTGAATCTTTTCTCCATTTATCATGATGTTGCCTCCTGATGCAATTGTGAGGCTAGACCTCCTGATCCGGAAAATGTATTCTCTCCTTTGATATTAAGAGAAAGCAAATGCGTGAATCTGCAGATAGGTCACTTAAAAGAATTATTAGAAAAAGTTTCTATGTGTGTTAAATTATAAAATGTTAAAGAGAATTAATAGAAAATATTTCTATTAATGTTAAATTAGAAAAAAGAATTAACAGAAAATATTTTAATATTTACATTTCTAAAACCTAGAATTCTATTTTTCTTTGCTAAGAATTTTAACATTTTGGTAATTAGAAATTACGTTTTATAAAAGGAAAGGTAAAATCTCTCAATATTCTGTTGTAAACTTATTTAAAATAATAATTTTTTAAAAAAGATAGTCATGTTTTTGGGTTTTGTTCTGGCTTTATAAGAAATGAACAATAGCAAAATTAATAGCAAAAATAAAGGGGTTAACAAGGAATATCAAATCAGGGCAAATTAGAAGCCAAGTCTTGGATATTATATTCTTATCATAGAGGTAATTTTATAACATTATCTAGCGTGTTATATCAACGTCTCATATCTTATACCATTGTTTAATCTATTATACCAGCTCTTACCGTTTATAACATTGTCTCATATAATAATTATATCAGTATCTTAAATCTCGTACATCTCACAAACCCATTTAGCAAAGAATAAAATGTTCCCCTACCTAGAACTAAATGAATGCTTTTCGTTCTCTTTTGGCAGATAACAAAGAGATTTTTCTTTCCAAAGCAATTCACAAGTCATTCATAGAGGTTAATGAGGAAGGGTCAGAAGCAGCTGCTGCCTCAGGTAATAAGTTGGGTTTGGTTGGTTTTTTAAAATGATCTCAATTTTTCTATATTTTATTTAAAGAAATATATATTGGAGTGAGGGTCATCTTCTGAATCAAGCCCCAGACTAACTCAGAAGCCACGCCAATGCTGAAACAGTCTGCATTTTCTAAATAGGACATGAGGCACTCTCACTAATACCCTGTAACAGAGTAACTCCTGTCTCCAGTTTTCTCTCTAATGAGAGGCAGCAGGACCTTGCCAGTTCTTTGAGAAGAGAATTTCCTGCTGTGCTGCCTGCTTAAATATTTTAAATATTTCCCTACTGTCTGCCTGAATCTTTTTTCTCTGTACCTAATTATTTGTGAAAGCTGCTTCTTAATTTTGGAAATAAGTTTTTATTCTTTAGAAGTACACACGTAAATAAGAATATGCGGTAAGATGTAGTGTTTTTCTTTCTCAAAGAGCACTTTGTCATAAAGCTTGTGTCCAGAGAACAATGGCAAATGTCCTTGGTCATTATGATAAATCTGACTTCCCTGGTTAATTGAAAATATCATCTCTTTTCCTTTTTAGATCCTCACACCCCACCCCACCTAGTCCCATAAGCAGCACCTATCATCATATTTCAGGAAGATTTGTTTTTCCTTCTGCTGTAATTATAGTTACAGACATTATTTCTAGCTTCTGTGTCTATTTATCTATTAAAAGTATTTTTGCTCATAATGACATTTTCAAGAAGAAATAGAAATAGTAATCTTGGGCATCGAGAAAGTTCCATGGAATCTCCCATGATTTTGACCTTTTCCCAGCAACTGTCAGTACTTAACACCAAACCCCACCACCCTACTGCCCAACGTTCTGTTGCAGACCAGGGGCAAAGTTTTTTTATAAGTATTAATAGTGAGACCGAACACCAGGAATATAGGAGAAAAACAGAGATAAAGCAGGAGGCAAACAGTTCTCGAACCATTGAAGGGAACTGCCCAATGATTCCAGCTTTTCTGTCCTTACTGAGTATTGCCAGGAAGTAAATCACAGAGAGACTCGAATACAGGTGAAGCTAAGCTTTCTCTATTGAAAACCTTCTGCTTGACTCAGGAGGGAGGGGCGACGCAAAAATCCTGTAAACGCTTAAGGATTGCCTTAGTGCTTCAGGATTCATTCCAGCTGATATCAGCCTCCCTCATAACCTGAAGCAGTAGTCTGTTTTTTACAAATATTTAATGTAAAAGTTAGCTTCCCATAACGTCCCATATTAAAGGTTGCAGGAGAACTCCATTTCCCAGCTATACAAACTAACACAGCAGCTCTGACATACTTTCCCTTTCATTATTGCCATTCTGACCATTCCCCAGAAATAAGGGGGCTTGATATGAAAAATACACATTTCAAACAAAGATAATGATTTGAGATAGACACTGTCCTATCTGGGAGATTTGTTTGGTTTTGTTTTAGGTTTTGTATTTTCTTTTTGTCCCCCTTTCATAAATACTCCATCAGAGATGATTCTCGTTAAGCCATGAGTATTTATAAGACTGAAAAGAAAAA